TGGAACTCAATAACGACTATATTTTTCATTCTCATTCTACAATATTGAAAATCAAACGGGTCCTCTTAACATCAATTTTAGGTGTCAGTGTGAGCACATTCATTCATTGTCCAGTGAATAAGAAAAATATCCATTTTTTGGGAAGTGAAACTTTATAGTGTTTGGCAGATTCGATCTTCTTTTTGCTACCCAACCATCCAATAAAATTTATTGTAACACTTGTACTGATCATAGTTTTATTCACTTGTCTACAAAATCAAATATCATATCTATATTATGTAAAATATTACACGATTCGGAGTTGAACTCTATTTATTTTAGGATTCATTAATACAATCTCATTGGTTCTTCTTCGTGCTGCGTCATCTAGCAACTCGATGCTTGTATTACACTTCCACAACTCTATCTTCATGATTTAGTATATATTCAATGGCTTCGGCATACATACATTTTTTTTTTCTTTTCAAAATGAGTATAATTGAGTTGATGATGAAAAATCTTGATTGAGATAGAGAGTCATTGTTGGGAGAGTAGTAAAGGCTCAGAGCCCTCTATTTGATCACAACTCCTATCGTGAAAGGGTTGATCCCACTATGACTCGAGTAGATGTTACGTATCAATAGTGTTATACACATTATTTTTTTAAAATAATGTTATTTAGTACAATCGACGTTACATCAATCTAGACGATACTATGTTTCAAGGACCGCAACAAGGCACCCCGTGAAACTATGTGATGAACATAATTAAGCCCCTGTTTGAGCCCTATTTTTTATTTTTAAAAAATAAATTCTTGAACAGTGTTTTGATCATATTTCAATCACATTTGTTAATAAAATAATATTACACGTAAATTCAATTTTTTTCTTATTTTTTAACCACATATTTCCCATCAATACACAATTCAAAGATGCATTTTTTTTTTTTTTGGGCAAAAATGAGGTTCAAACATGCCCTAAAGGTCAAATTTATGTATAATTTGATTGTACTGTCATTTTAATATCACTTAGGACCCATTTGGCATGATTTTTGCTTCATTTCTTAAGAAGTTACCTAAATTTTTGTTTGTAAATTAATTTTTAAAAACACTGCAAATTTCAAAAGTATTTTTAGAGAAAATCACATTAGATTAACTTCTAAACGCACTTTTAACTAGATGAAACACTTTCATAAAATTAATCAAGCCGACAAAACTTTTTTTTAACTTTTCAAAAGCCATATCAAACGGATTCTTAATATCTTATAGATAAATGTTGTAACACCATGATACTAAATAATATTATTCCTTTATATGCATAGATTTTAGCTCTTGTTTGGTGATAATCAAAATCAAATTTTTAGTAAATTTTGATAAAAATTGATAAAATATGTGGTTGAAAAATTGTGAATCTGTTGACACACTAAAAGTGCAGCTCAAATTAAATGGCCTAAAGAGCGAAATCCAATTGGGAATCCAAGATGAAAGCCCAAGCAAAAGGTATTATTGAAGAATGTAAAAGCCCACAAACAAAGAAACGCCGTCGCCCAAACTTGCAGAACGCCCAGATGTTGAGCGAATAAAGTACCTTATGGACGCCTAAAGCGAAGGAGTCGTAGCCCAATTGCTGGGTAGCCCAGAATCCTAGCGATGATTGAACCCTGTTGTTATCTAAAATCACGATTTGAGACGGTTTGATCATATCACGATTACACCCCACGATTTGAGAATCCTACAACTCCGGGACTATTTCGACAACCGTTCCAGTCACAACTATTCTCCGGCGATCGTTCCGACGACTGATCCGATTCCGACAAATATGTTATGGTCACAGATCTACACAATTTGGTCACAATTCAAATTTTTTTAGGTCACAATTCAAAATTTTCGTAGGTCACAATTTGTTTATTGGTCAGAACTTATAAATTTAAAAGTCACAATTTGTTCACCAGATCACAGATCCCAAAATTTATAATTCTCAATACTTATTTAGGTCACAATTTATCAATTTATTGGTCACAATTAATAATTTTTTGGTCACATAGTCAAAATTTTAGGTCACAATGAAATACTTGGTCACAGATAACCAAATATTTGTCACAGACCACCAACAATATCTACTACCGTCGCCACCCCTGCCCCAAAATCGCTACAACCTTACCGACACAAAACCGCCACCATCTCACGACAACCAGTACCAACACCACCGTCACAACAACCAACACCCCACACAAAACACCACTACCACACAAAAACACCGCCGCCGCTGGATGGCTATCAACACCTCCCCTGTCGGATCTGTACACAAACATCATCAAAAACCACAAAAACTACAGTGGATCTGTTCATAAAAACCAACAAAAATTAAACGGATCTGTGCACACAAAAAAAACAATGCCACCGCCGTTTCGTGAACTGCAGCGGTGTTTACCGCCGTGTCGTGAACTGCAGCAGCGTCGCGACGCCGCTGCTTCGAGATCGCTGCTGCAAACTGCAGCAACGACGTCACACCGTTTGCAGCGGCGGTGTCGCGAACAATTGTGAACGGTGCGACGACAACAACAAATCCACTGGTTTTTTGAAAGAAACCACCACAAAATATCGCAAAGGAAAAAACGACAACAAAGCACAAATCAGCACACATACCACAAATCGACCACCTCCACCAGCTACCGGCACTCAAATCGACACTCCACCACGTGCCGACACTCAAATCGACGCTGCGACGACTTCGCAGCAGTCGCGGCTCGAAGCTCGTCGTGGCCAGGAGAGGTGCATCGAAGCTCGTCGTGGCCACCATCAGATTTTGACAGGCCAGGTCTCCGGTAGTGGGCGAGGAGAGGTGGAGGTGGTGATCGGTAAAGGCGGAGAGCATTTGTGGAGACCGTGAGAGAGTGGGTAAATAGGTGAGAAATTGTGAGAGAGTGGATTTTAGTTTAGGGTTTGATTAGATATAATTATATAAAAAATAAAAAAATGTTTTTGAGTTATTAAATAAAACTTGATTTTTGTATTATTAAAGTTGATTCTGCATTTTTGAAAATGGTAAGTTAAAAACCTGTGTGGGTGTAATTTTCTCATTAATTTTAATCTGATTTTAATCCCTCCCAAACAAGCTCATACTTTTTTTGGGAAGTGAAAGTTTATAGTGTTTGGCAGATTCGATCTTCTTTTTGCTACCCAACCATCCAATAAAATTTATTGTAACACTTGTACGGATCATAGTTTTATTCACTTGACTACAAAAACAAATATCATATCTATATTATGTAAAATATTACACTATTCGGAGTTGAACTCTATTTATTTTAGGATTCATTAATACAATCTCATTGGTTCTTCTTTGTGCTGCTTCACCTAGCAACTCGATGCTTGTATTACACTTCGACAACTCTATCTTCATGATTTAGTATATATTCAATGGCTTCGGCATACATACATTTTTTTTCTTTTCAAAATGAGTATAATTGAGTTGACGATGAAAAAGCTTGATTGAGATAGTGAGTCATTGTTTGGGAGAGTATTCGAGGCACATATGCCTCTATTTGATCACAACTCCCACAATGAAAGGGTCGATCCCACTATGACTTGAGCAGATGTTAAGTATCAATAGTGTTATACACATTATTATTTTTTTAAATAATGCTATTTAGTACAATCGACGTTACATCATTCTAGATGATACTATGTTTCAAGGACTGCAGCAAGACACCCTCTGAAACTATGTGATGGACATAATTAAGCCCCTATTTGAGCCATATATATATATTTTTTAAAAAAATCAATTCTCGAACAGTGTTTTGATCACATTTCAATCACATTTTTTAATAGAATAATATTACACTCAAATTTAATTTTTTTCTTATTTTTTAATAACACATTTTCCATCAATACACTATTCAAAAATGCATTTTTTTTTTTACAAAAATAAGATTCAAACACGCCCTAAAGGTCAAATTTATGTATAATTTGATTGTACTGTCATTTTAATATCACGTAGGACCCATTTGGCATGATTTTTGCTTCATTTCTTAAGAAGTTACCTAAATTTTTGTTTGAAAATTAATTTTTAAAAACACTTCAAATTTCAAAAGTATTTTTAGAGAAAACCATATTGGATTAACTTCTAAAAGCTATTTTAACTAGATGAAACATTTTCATAAAATTAATAACTTTTTAAAAGTCATGTCAAACGGATTCTTATTATCTTATAGATGAATGTTGTAACACCATGATACTAAATAATATTATTCATTTATATGCATAGATTTTAGCTCTTGTTTGGCGATAATCAAAATCAAATTTTTATTAAATTTTGATAAAAATTGATAAAATATGTGGTTAAAAAATTATGAATCTTATTAACATGTAATTAAAATTAATGGCTGACTTTAATTTTAATATGTGCAAAAGGCATAATCTATGAGATTTAAACTCGGGGTAACATTAACAAATAATATAAGAATTCAATTCAATTATAGTACTTGCAGCTCTGAAGAGTCCCCATAGAGGGACCAATAGAAAAACACAGGCGGTTAGAGAGAGAGAGTGGAGTAGGAGTCACCGGTTCTAGTCGTTTCCTGCAAATGACCCTACTTTTATTTTTATTTATGCTCAATTTTTTTTTTGGTTTGTAAACCCCACAAAATTTCGAGGCTCCCAGACACCTTTGCAAGGACAAGATTTTCTGTGCTAAGGGATGAGTTTCAAATCTGATTACTACTACAGGAGATAAAAAGCAAACCCCATCAGATAAATCAGATCGTTTTCTTCGTAGAGAAGGAGAGAAAAAGAAGCAGACAGAGACTCTTTAAAGATACATATCATATATAATCATATATGTAAGGGGAGAGAGAGAGAGTGTGTGTGTTGTTGGCTTGAGTTTCTGTTCAAGAAAATCCTTAGAAAATCTCAGAAAAAGTTGCTGAATTCATCATCTTCTTAAATCCCAGAAAAAAAATAATAATAGTATTTTGTTATCATTTTTCGAAGAAGTACGAGAATGGTTTGAGGAAGTGTTTGCATGGCGGGTCATAGAATTGAATCAGATTTGGGCCATATCCCTTATGCAGCTCCTCATATCATTCATCCTCCTCCCTCAACCTTCATGTATTGCTTTATTCTTTATATTTTTAATATATTTCCTTTTCTTTTCTCTCTTTATTCAAACACTCTAAATCTTTGTGTTCGTTTTCGTTTTTTAGTTCTGTTTATTATCCTTCTGGTAAGAAGGAATTCTGATTTAATCTCTAAGGCTAAAACGGGTTTGTTTTCTTTAGTAATCAAGAAGGATCTGCTTTTGATTTTGGAGAGCTGGAGGAGGCTTTTGTGCTGCAAGCAGTTAATGATACAAAACAACGTATGTTGCCTTCTCTCTTTTTTTTCTGACGTTTGGGGGTGGGGTGGAGTGGGGTGGGATGGAGTGCTTTACTATTTGTAATATAGAAATCATACATAAGCAAAACATTAGAATGGCGTGGGGTTTCAAATAAGGAAAACTTACCTGCTTTGCATGTTTTTACTTACTCCATAACTGCTGCGAAAATGAGAAGGAAAAAAAAAAAAAGCGAGTAGGTTCTTTTCTTCCTTTTATGAGGTTTGAAAATAATCCCTTAAAACTCTCTACTTATTTTCCTGCTGATTCTCAAAGATTTTGCTTTCATGATTTTGTGCAGCTTTATACACAGAGAGACCTGCGGCAACTCTGGAAATGTTCCCTTCTTGGCCTATGAGATTCCATCACGCCCAAAGAGTACACTTCGGTTTCTTTGACCATTTCAATTCACACTGCATATTTTTCAAGTCTTTTGGAGTTTTAATTTTTATTTTCGTATAAGTAAACAGTATAATTAGGTTCAAAGCAGTCTACGTCTTGACTGACTTTCTTGGGATGGTTTGTATCATTTACAGGGAAGTTCAAAATCAGGAGAAGAGAGTACTGATTCAGGATCAGCGGTGCATGCACTTTCAAGTAGAGGTGAGGGCAGCAGATTGGAGCCAGAGTCTCCCGTTGGTAGAAAGGCTTCTTCTTCTTCAGATCATCATCAGGTGATTGATCAGATGCATCATCTACAGCTACCTCAACAGGTAGATATTGCAAGTGCAAGTAATAGCCCAAGAACAGGAATTTCTCAGCCTCAACCACTTGGCAAACCAACCTCAGAAAAGGTTTCTAACACTTCTCTTTCAACTTCTTTTGGTAGGGTCGACTCTACTGAACATTATTGAAACATGACCATGTCCATCGATAGTAGTATACGAGATACTTGACGACCATAATTTTCATTGTACCGTCTAGTTTTGAGTACCATAATTTGTCTTTTTTACATGTTCTACGAATCATAATCCCAAAAACTGGGAAGAAAGGTGGCATCTTCTCTCTTGTATAAGTCACAAATCCCAACAACTGCTAGAAAAAATGAATCAAAAGGTTGTATTTTTCTGATTTATATTCTGACATGTAATGAAAAAAGTGAATATTTACAGCATTTAAACTGTTACTTCTACTTTCTGGGTTATATTAATATTATAATAAGCTTTTTATCTCCAGTACTGTAGTCGATCTATTGTAAACAGTAAAACTTCCATTTCCAATTGCGAATATTGGAGTCGAACAAGAAACTGTGCACATGGCTTCTATATAAAGTTGAGGGTTAAAGTCGAGAAGAGAACTCTCTTTTTTATTTTTATTTTTCTCATTCAAAATTGTACAAGAAACTTTCCTTTTCAGTTTTTATATTTTTGCACTTGCTTTTTTTTGGGATTTTGGGCAACCAAATCTAAGGGTGTGACTGGTGATGGAATACATTTCATTATCTCCATCACTCCATGTAGATGTTCAGTCATCATCATCATTATTTTTTATACAAAACTCTGAAAATTCCTAGACAATCTCTAATGATTACGAGTTTGATTTTTTAATTATGCAGAGAAGGGGTGCTGGTTCAAATTCAGAGAGAATGCTCGATGCTAAGGTAAGACTAAGGAACAATTCGTAACTCCGAGTAATGTTGCCATGTTTGGGATAACTTATTTTTAACGTGACTTAATTATATTTAAAATAAATCAACATAAGCCAGAAATTCAGTGATAAGCCACCACTATCATGATTGTGGAAAGAAAAAACTTTATATAAAGGTGAATTGCACTATCAGTCCTCATCATTTGAGACCTTTCAAAATAAGGTCCTCAATTTTTTTCACTGCATTGAATGCTTTTTCAGCTTGCAATTAATTCGGGAAAAAAGAAGAAGTTAAATCTTGAAGCTGATAACCTTTTTCTTTCACTCTTTACAGACATTGAGACGTTTGGCTCAAAATAGGGAAGCAGCAAAGAAGAGCAGGCTTAGAAAAAAGGTGGGTACCAATTTCTCATTTAAAAATTAGAAATGGACTTACATGCAAATTTTGAAAAATCTTTTTTTAAACCTTGTACATGAGTTTTTTTTTTTGTATCTTATAATTTTTGGTTCAGGCCTATGTACAGCAGCTAGAATCAAGTAGGATAAGGCTCAGCCAGCTGGAGCAGGACCTTCAAAGGGCACGTTCACAAGTAAATAAAACATTTAATTTAGAAATAAGAAATTCTTATTAAAAATCGTTAATTCTTTTAAATTTTGACGTCGTAAAATGATTTTTCTGATTTCTTTTTTTCTTGATTAATGTGACGAACTGCAGGGATTTTTCATGGGAGGAGGCGGTGGTGGTGGTGGGAACATGAGTTCTGGTAAGTCTAATCGTTTGTGCTACATTAGAGAAGATACGGTTGGACTTTTCAGGGTCGATTTTAACTTATATTAGAAAAGAATAATACCTTTTACAACAAAGATATGTATTTAAAACATTTTACATAGGGAAAAGGTTTTTTAAAAGAAAAAATTATAAATTTTCACATTATCTGAATTCTCTGAACATACAAAATTCGGTCAAATTAAGCAACAACAAATTTCAAAGCAGATTATTCTTTGCTTTTAAGTTGGAAAAGAGAAAATAATCTCTGCATTTGACTAAAATATGTCCACTTCCCTAAGCTATTATTAAATGTCAATTATATGTCACTTGGTTTGCAGAATTTATTACAGTCAGAACACGTGTCCTAGTTTTTTTCAACGTTTGGTTTGTTTGGTCAGAGCTGATAAAAGATTAAGATCGCAGAATTGACTATTGTACGGGAAAAGTAGTTCTCGATAGAAAGCCAACTAGCTAGTTCTATACAACTCATCTTAATGTGACATGTCACAGCTTTATTATGAATGACATTCGAAGCCTAAGAAGTAAGAAGGCAAAAAGAATGTAATTGACATTATAGATGGTGGTAGAACTTGTCCCTTTGTGTTGTTTAATGATGTCCTAAGTATATCTCGTTAGACTATGTGAAGATTAATTATAATAAATGGCTGATTTCTAGGATACATTAGGTTACGAGAGGTGAGATAAATATCTCGTACTCCATCATAATAGTACGTGTTAGAAGCAAGTGTAGACTCAACGCCACTTTTTTGGGAATTGGAGATCGAAAAATAATTTTGAGAGGGGGCAACGATAACTCGAGGAAACTTCATTTTGATTTCTTGAAGTGACTTGGTGATTCTATCTTAAAATACCAACCTTATAAAGAGGAGTAGTCTAATTCCTTATAAGATGGTGACTTGTTTGAGCAGATCATTTTTGTAATTCTTGTGCTCATTTTTTATTCTTAATGAGATCGAATTGCTAATTGGAATTTAATGGACTCTAATACCATGTTGGGATTTATCTCTCAACATTTCCAAAACACGAATGTTATTATAGGTGCTGCAATATTTGATATGGAATATGCAAGATGGTTAGATGAAGATCACAAACATCTGACAGAAATTCGAACAGCTTTGCAAGCACACTTATCAGACGGCGATCTTAGGGTAATACTAGATGGATATATAGCACATTATGATGAAATTTTTCGTCTAAAAGGAGTGGCTGCTAAATCTGATGTCTTTCATCTGATAACCGGAATGTGGACTACTCCGGCTGAACGTTGTTTTCTGTGGATGGGCGGTTTTCGTCCATCTGAACTCGTCAAGGTTTGAATTCACTTATCTATTATACATCTGGTAAATTATACTCGTTAATATAAAAAACGAACTTTTAACTTTTTTTTCTTAGCTGATACTGTATAGTATCGTTTAACCACCTTATCAAACATGTCATATAGTCTCCTTTCTCCTCTTGCATTCAGTTTATTCTAATTAAGTTGTTTTTCCTTTGTGATTTTGATGATCAGATGTTAACATCACAATTAGACCCCTTAACAGAGCAGCAAGTTATGGGGATTTACAACCTCCAACGGTCCACAGAACAAGCAGAAGGGGCTCTCTCCCAGGGATTGGAACAGCTACAACAATCTTTAACCGATACCTTAGCCAGCGGTTCTATTAACGATAGCATGCATCACATGGTCGTTGCACTTGGCAAGCTTACTAATCTTGAAGGCTTTGTCCGTCAGGTAAAATTTAACATTTTGAACTTCCACGTTGCAACTTTTCATTTGTCAATAAGATTTTCTATTAGGGTATTCGACGAAGGCATGTGGAATGACATGACTTTAGACAAAATGATGCTTCGGTTAGACTCATGGTTATATTTACTTGGTTACACTGTCTTCAACATGCCCTCAATTGTAGTCTTGATTCCCGACATGTGAGTTTTCACAAGTTGGTGATAGTAAGACTTGAATCTCAAAATTATACATGCTTCAATAGATGTTTGAAACCTTCTAGGCAAAGTAGTTCATGACCAAGACGATCGCTTTATCAAATGATCGAAATTTTATATCATCTTTTGTCATTATTAAGCATTTTATATTGGGGTGGGGGGGGGGGGGGGGTTGGTTGAGTTCATCTTAATTATCTGTTACCGTCCAAGCTTGTTTGAAAGCGAAGCATAATCAAATAACTGCCTTTGCTAGACCTATCAGCAGAGTTTTTTTAAAATGCAAATTTGGGAATAATGTGAATAAAATATTTGCAAACTTGGAAAAATGTATATATTTTCAAGTCAATGATTGCAATAGTCCAAATATGGGGGTTTCAACCCTTGGAAAATTTGTTTGGAGCTTTGTCCCTGCATTGTGGTGCTCATGAATTGATATAGGATGAATGATTAATGTAGCATACACTACATTTATCGCCATCAGAGACAAGACTTAGTTTGTTATTGTATTGATTCATTGGAATTTTGTGCATTTTACCCTTTCGGCGATAAACATCATTCATGTAGCTAACACTATACATACTTATCAGAGGAATAATGCTTAGTTTGTTATTGTACTGATTCAATTGAGTTTTATGCATTCTTATATTTTCGGGTGGTTTTATTGATAGTTTTGGATCTACAAAAACTTGAATCGTATGGAGTTCAGAGAAATGATTCACGTGGCTCACACTTTTTTTATTATTGTATAGTTGTATGTGAGTTTTATATGCATTCTTATGGCAAGTTATTAATATATGTAAATTTTAAATTTTAGGCTGACAATTTGAGACAACAAACACTTCATCAACTACACCGTGTATTGACAATTCGACAAGCAGCACGATGTTTCCTGGTAATCGGGGAGTATTATGGTCGATTACGAGCGCTTAGTTCCCTATGGGCATCTCGTCCAAGAGAGTAAGATTCACTTATACCCATTTATGTTAATATACTTCTTAATTATATCTTGTTATAAAATCATATTCTTATTTAAATAATTAAGGTCCCATTGTATCTCATTATCAATTATTATCTTAATCAAACGTTTCAGGACCTTTTTCGGGGATGATATTTCTTGCCAAACCGCTATGGATTTGCAAATGGTACAACAATCTTCTCAAAACCATTTTTCCAACTTCTGATGTGACTCCAAAACTTGATCATGATTAAATCAATAGCATATTTCTAGCATTGGCGGTTCTTCGGCTGCTTTACTGCCTCTTATTGACATTGAAAGGATCTGCACACGACAAGTGTGGACATACAATACGGGTAGACCATATATTTGCACGTACCTGCACTAGCATGCAATTAATCACATATAAGTAGGTCTTCGTAGGAAAGACTATAATCGAGACCCTTTTTATTTGGCGTTAACTGGGACGAGACAAGACGAGACGAGACTTTTCTCCCGTACTTGCCTTAGCTTTTGATATTTTAATTATGGTACAATGTCAATGTAAATCAGTTTTATGTGCATAGGAAGCTTTCACTAGATTAAGGGGCAGAAAAATTGTGAAAAAGCATGCCATGTGTGGGGACTAAGGTGGGTTGGGGTAGGTGTTTGTATTATTGGACTCCATTTATGTAAATGAAGTGGTTGTTAGGTAAACTATTGAATCACAAAGAGCGAAGGTGTATTGACTTTAATTGAAGGGGAAATTGTGGTTGCGGTTTCCCATTCTTTGAAAATATTTCATTTGAGTACTCATTCAATTTTTTGAGGCACATAAAATAGAATCGAGTACTATATTTATCAAGAAACGACAACTGCTGCTATAATTTTTTCTTCAATGAGTATTACATTTTCTATAACTATCGTAATCACATTTTCGAGTAGCCATCCATTACCACAAAAGTGAGGTTGCCTATCGAGACTTTGTATTGTAATCACAAGACAATAAGTCTGTTAAGTTGTGGAGTCTAATCATTGTCGTTGTGCGGAGTTTGTACGTGGATCCACCTTCTAATTAATTTCAAAATCTCACAATTATAATTTCGATTTTGTTCTAATTTTTCTTATAAATAATGAGCCATCATGGGGATTAATTTTGAAATCAAATCATCAAAAGAGAGGGAAGTTTGAGAAAATAGAGTGTGCGATTTTTCTTTTGTAAACCTTTTTTTTTTTTAAATCATAATAAATTGCTACACTGATAGACGAGGGTGTAGTCTCACATTGAGGCGAATCTCTAAAAAAAATTGTGTATTCTGATGTGCCTATTTTCTTACAGCAATTTTATTATTTTTAGTGGTATAAAAATAGGACTTATAATTCTCACCCACATAAACATTACATCATTAATTATTTAATTAACAAAAAAATTACATCTTTATTAATAACAAATTAATTCTTAAACAAAACTATTAAATATAAACTATGCAAACGTGTATTGCACGTTGCTTGCACCTCGTGTGTATATATATATATAAACTTTTTCGCAAAAGGTGTAAATTCTGTAATTATCAGAGTGTACAATATACTCCTATCTTACTGATTAAATAATACGTCATTTTACAAATTAGATTTTGCCTAATCAAAGTGTAAAGAAACAATCTAAAAAGCTTAAAGTTGAAAAGGTTTATAAATATTTGATTGTATCCCGTTTTAGTTTATTTTATGATAAGACGCACACTTTTAGTTGTTGTAAGTTTGGCTTTTCGTTCGTGTTAGTAGAACTTTTTTGAATTATCTTATACCCAGACATGGACCAATATCAAGTGCACGATTCTACAGATATTTAGTCAACTAGTCGATCTTGATAATTAAGTCCATTTGCTCCCTTATGAATACATATATTTTTCATATAATGTCTCGTCTTTGTCGTCGTTGACTAACCTGATTGCTAAAGCTCACCAAATACCGCAAATAAAAATTCCAATTGCCTTATAAAACTATATCATATTCTATAATTAATGAATTACTGAATCAGTTCTTATAAAATAATTAATTGCTAAGCATTAAATTACGGAGGCGTGCTTGTCATTGTTTCTGGTTATTATTTTGAACATTATGTACGCATCATTTGGTTGACAATCGTTTAGTGTGAATTTTGTTCTCTTCATATTAAATAATTAAGGCGGGTCCACTTTACACAGTCAAAATTCCTTAAAATAAGTAATGTTGATCAAATTCTTAGAGCCAAAATTTGACTGGAACTATCCCAAATATTTCAGTTTAAAAAAATAAGAGGAATTTTCAAAAATGTCACTAAATTTGAAAATTCAAAAAAAATTGTCACTTTCACTTTTTGTTAGCAAACATGTCACTTTTTTGGTGCAAAATGTTCAAAATATCCTTGTTACCACCTTTTTAGGAGCATTTAATGTTTGATTTGAATGTAATTAATGTTGTGATGTGATGATTTACTTAAAACCATGCCATATGTGTGGGGACTTAGGTGGGTTGGGGGAGGTGGTGGTATTATTGGACTCCAGCTATGTAAATGAAGTGGGTGTTAGGTAAACTATTGAATCACAAAGAGCGAAGGTGTATTGACTTTAATTGAAGGGGAAATTGTGGTTGCGGTTCCCATTCTTTGAAAATATTTCATTTGAGTACTCAATTCAGTTTTTTGAGACACATAAAATAGAATCGAGTACTATATTTATCAAGAAACGAAAATTGCTGCTGTAATTTTTTCTTCAATGAGTATTACATTTTCTATAACTCTCGTAATCATATTTTCGAGTAGCCATCCATTACCCCAAAAGTGAATTTGCGTATCAAGATTTTGCAGTGTAATCACAAGACAATAAGTTTGTTAAGTTGTGAAGTCTAATTATTGGCGCTGTGCGGAGTTTGTACGTGGATCCACCTTGTAATTTCAAAATCTCACATTTATAATTTCGATTTTGTTCTAATTTTTCTTATGAGTAATGAGCCATCATTAGGATTAATTTTGAAATCAAATCATCAAAAGAGAGAGAAGTTAGAGAAAATAGAGAGTGCGATTTTTCTCCTGTAAACCTTTTTTTTTAATCATAATAAATTACTACAATAACGGACGAGAATGCGACAGTCTCATATTGAGACGAATCTCTAAAAAAATTGTGTATTCTTAAGTGCCTATTTTTCTTTCAGCAATTTTATTATTTTTCGTGGTATAAAAATAGGACTTCTAATTCTCTCCCACATTTTAAGATTAGAAATTTGTATAATATATATGCTTCATTCTCAATGCTTTTGGTGGTATTGTAAAAGAATAACTTTTTCGCAAAAGGTGTAACTTCTGTCATTATCAGATTATAGTGTACAATATGCTCCTACCTTACTGATTAAATAATGCGTCATTTTACAAATTAGGTTTCGCCTAATCAAAGTGTAAAGAAACAATCTAAAAAGCTTAAAGTTGAAAAGGTTTATAAATATTTGATCGTATCCCGTTTTAGTTTATTTTATGATAAGACACACACTTTTAGTTGTAAATCTGGCTTTTCGTTCGTGTTAGTAGAACTTTTTATATTTTTTGAATTACCTTATACCCAGACACGGACCAACTATTGACTCATGGAAAACACTGAATTTGAATGAAGGACTCGAATATGGTGGAGAAATATCTCGTTTAGTCAACTAGTTGATCTTGATAATTAAGTCCATTCGCTCCCTTATGAATGCAGATATTTTTCATATAATGTCTCATCTTTGTCGTCATCGACTAACTTGATTGCTAAAGCTCACCAAATATTGCAAATAAAAATGCCAATTGCCATATAAAACTATATCATATTGTATAGCAATAATTCAAAATTAATGAATTACTAAGCATTAAATTACGGGTATGAAATAATATATAAAGTGGAGGCGTGCTTGTCATTGTTTCTGGTTATTATTTTGAACATTATGTACGCATCATTTGGTTGACAATCGTTTAGTCTGAATTTTGTTCTCTTCATATTAATGCAAACCATTCATTAAATAATTAAGGTGGGTCCACTTTACATAGTCAAAATTCCTTAAAATAAGTAATGTTGATCAACTTCTTAGAGTCAAAATTTGACTGGAAATATCCCACTTTTTTGTTTAAAATACCCAAGTGTTCACTTTCGGCGACTAATCTTGGAGTCTACGCCTTGGCCCCTCAAGACGCAGACTAGCGAGATGTGCCACAAACTGGTCAGAATCCAAGAGTTAGAGCCTCCTCCACTGATCTGTTAAAGTGTCAAGCGAGTCAACACATGTTGCACCTTGCTTTTCAGGAAAACTCATGCATTTTAGGATAAATTCTGCTTTTCAGGAGAGAGTCTGCCTTACTATAATCCCACTTTACTTTAAAATGTTACTAAAATATTATTCAACTTTGTTAAATTGCTCTCCATTCATTACTTGTTAAGGCATGGATAGAGCTATATATGTGGTAGACGAAATTCAAACATGACATAAATTACGTCCAATTATTCTAACCAACGAACATTTTTAATGTTCAGTAAGGTCTCCTTGACACCACCCAAAGTTTAGTTATTGTTTGAACAATTAATCACCAAAAGAAATATTAAAAAACAAAAATAAAGTGAAAAAAATAGAATGCTTATTTGTCGGCAATCAATGAACAAATTATCGTTGGTGATTGTCGACGACATCATCAGACAACATTGTTGTCCCTAACTGTTGACAAGCATGCGTCCATAATCGTGGATTTTATTATTGTTGCCAGTTTTGTACAAATCAGCAACAACTATTGATTTCATTAGGTATAATTAGTCCTGTCGTTGATCATTTTCTTACTAAATATTTTTATGATTATTTTTGCAAGGCCCCCTCAAATTTTTTTGCCCAAGGTATAGAATTTTATTACAGAATGTTCACATTTTATTTTCCTCAGGACCTTACGTGCAATTATTCTTTATGTCCTTCATTGTGTCTTTTGATAGTTTGTTATCTTGATTGCAAATCAGCTGTAAGCGTCTGTTATGTATGTTTCGTCTGGTGCATTTATATTGTGGGTTGTGTTTCATTTTGATTAAGATTCAATAAAATAAAAGAGAGTTTCTTCTTCGATCCTCGATTTCTTCATGGTATCAGAGCGAGAAGATCCTGAAGATAGGATCTGATACACAGTGATCACTAGTAATTAATTTTTTTTTTCTAATGGATAACGAATTAGAAGAAGATACTAATTCGCGAACTAATGGAGGTCGTCGC